AGTCGCAGCACATACAAAGTATTCCAGGAGCTTGTCCGGCCGGACACACACTCGGCTCTGCGGGACGTGCGTCTCATCCGATATGCGTCCCCCCCCCCTCGGCTCCAGGAAGGACTTCGTTTAGTGCTCTCTTCTCTCTGTCAATACACCGCCGAAGCCCAGGCCCGCCCCCTGACCTGCTGCTGCTCACCGCCCCTCTTCAACCCTTATATGTCACGGAGATTTCTCGCAGGATCTCGTGTATATTTATTTACTTTCCCTCCGATATTGCCCGCGCTAAAAAATGGAAAGGGTGAAAATAAAAATGTCCGTCATTTCGTTGGTTAATTTGGTAGCATTCAAGGGGCATTTCGCAGTCCCTTTGTCTTCAAAGTATTGTGAAATTGATTCAGAAGGGGAGCGTGAGACATTTTTCGCTAGTTAAAGTAAACGATAAAGCAGGCCAGAAGGGAACGGGGGTTAACGTTGACAAAAACGTTTCCTGGTACATAAAATTTGGTAGGAAAGGCAGAGTGTACTCACGGGCATATCCGGTCCAGATCGGCCCTGCTGCGGAACATGGCCATCTCCTTGTTGTCCGTGAGCAGGCTGAAGGGTTGGGCGCAGCCCATGACGATCTCCTGCCGGCACATCTCATTGGCCCTGGCCATGCAGCTCCACACTGGAAAAGGAAGAAGAAGAGACGACTGAGTTTAAAGGCGCGCGGAACTGGTGAATAGGCAAAGTTTATAACCAAGGAATCCACTGTCGGTGAGGTCGAATTTATGATTCGATTCAATATATGTTTGAAAAAGCACAAGACACTAGACGTTATTTCATCGTCAAAAAATAACAAAATGTGCGTGTCTATGATAGTGTTATTGCGTAATATCGGCGTGAGCTTGCGCTTTAAATAAACGCAGGAGAGATGAGGAGGGTATAAGAGGCCCTACGGCCCACGCGACCCAGACTCTAATTTATTACGCAGCCTCCGTCAAGAGCAGGCATGCCTAAATTAGTCGACATCTTCAATCTTGAAATAAGAGCGATCCGCGTATCTGTTCAAATTTCGGCGCGAAAACGTCAGCACACTCCCATTTTTCACCTTCTCCATCCACAACACACACAAGCAGAGGCTCGCACAGGGACGGGAGCAGCGCGCGGAAAAGTAAAGCGGAGAGAGCGCGTCTCGGAAGCGCCGCCGAGCACTTGTCCCGGGGATGCGTCCTCGGGGCGGCCGGGCCGCGTCAGACAACTTGATGATGGAGCACCACCACCACCAGCACGCCGTGAGCAGAGCGGGGAGAGAGTGACAGAGAAAGTGGGAGGGAGAATGAGAAAATGTGTGTGTGTGTGAGAGAGAGAGAGAGAGCGGGGGGATGGGAGAGAGGGAGAGAGGGAGAGAGAGAGAGAGAGAGAGAGAGAGAGAGAGAGAGAGAAGGGAAAGGGAGAGAAAGAGAGAGGAGGGGGGTATAGCCCCTCAGACGGAATAAATTTCTCAACTTTTCTGGCTGCTGAGAATCTGGTCGGGACTGTGCCGTGCTCCTCTAAACTCTCATCACTCCCGCCCTTTCGAAGGGAGGAAAAAAGGTAAGAAGGGGACGGTTGTGAATAGGAAAAGTGTGCGGGAAAGTGTGCAGTAGGCCGTGCGGCCGTTCGTTCGCGCACGTCATACGCCACCACCGGTAGGTCCCGTAGACGGCCAGGGGCATTTCTAGAGTGGCCTACTTCCCCCGCATTCGCTGGGCCGTCCACCAGCGCCAGGGGACTGCCGCCGCCGCCGCTGGCCCCACGGGCCGGGCCCGGGCTGGGCACGGAGGGCGCCTGGCTGGTAGGCCGGCCCGCCGTGCGCGCCTGTGTCGCGCCAGAGATATTGCCTACCCACAGGCGCTCGCAGCGCACCGCACTGCTGCAGCACGCAGCGAACTGTTACTAACGCTAGGAAGGTGCTGAGGCCATATCCTCTGAACAATACACGGTGTAGTGAGACAGTTTGTCTCATATTTTGTTCATACTAGATGAGCATTCCGTCCCCGCAGAACACTCCGGATGCATTGTTTCTCAGGAGGACGAGAAGGAGGAGGAGGAGAAGAGGAGGAGGAGGAGGAGGAGGAG